GCGAGTCCTCTGTTTGCAAAGGAGTCTGTGGTAACTGAAAGTGCGTTTTTGTACAGTAAATCACATCGGAGAAGAAACACGGAGAGTTAAAACTTTTAATTTATGGGAGTACCCACTTACAGTTTGAAACATTTTTATGCTACTTGTTGCATGCAGGGAATTGACCATGGATCTTCCTTCTCTTTCGTGGCCCTGGATGCCTGTGCGAGACAGGAGCACGTTTTACCTGAAATGTTCTTAAGTTAGCCGTGTGACCATTTACTCCAAATCCAACGTGAAAAAAAAAAAGATTATTAGCATTTAAGGAACAGCTAGACAACTAAATCCAATCCTCTTAGCCCAGGCTTTTTCAGTCCTTATCTCGCTGCCCGATTAGTCCCGATTTCCACCCTTTTCGCAGCAGGTGTCATTTCTGAGACGCCCAAAAGGCGATATTTCTTCCTTCCTCCGTATTCCATTTAGGAAAACGCCATACGGACGCATGGCGTGGTTGGCGTGCTATTTAGATTTACTTCTCTCTCGGCGCACACTACATGAACACGTGTTCCGCGTTCAAAGAGTAAGTTTGGTCAAGCACGACTCAAAGTGTTGAGTAGCACGATCAAGGTCATAAGATGACTGCTCCAAACACGTACTGTAGGGTTTCACAACGATACCTATCTCGTTACAGTCACGTAATTCATACAAGATTCTTACAAAGCTAAGACTCACATACGTCCATCGCTGATTGAAAAAACCTTTTCAATATCAATTGGGGACAAGGTCACCGGCAGAATATATTGCCGATGGGTGACCTGCTCCGTTATTAAAGGCTACTAAGAATATTTTACCTGAAATAAGACCAAAAGATAAACCTTTCAGCACTAAAGTACGGGTTATTAGATGAAATACAAGGGCGGCATCAGACAACATTTTACGTGGAAGCCGAACAATATTGACAAATGCAACATGCTCGCAATAATTTGATGAGTTTTGCATTCAAGGAAGAAGAAAAACTTCTTCCCAGCCTCCTTAAATACTCAGTTTACTGGATAATTTTAAATTATATTTTCAAGAATAACGCTCTTTTTCATTTTTCCTTACACATTTCACACGCCAAGCCCAGCACTAATGTGTAACGGTGTCAGTGATGAAGATTTTTGGTCTTCAGATAGCTCAATCTGAAGCTTTCCTAACTTTGTTTGACCGGGTTGTTCGTTGGCAACCTTATCTCTTTTCAATATAAACGCAAGAGCCGAACTAAATTTAAATAATTTTACAGAGAATCAGATAGTAGAACGGTAAATGTAGGATCGATTCACGCGTCATCATTAATTTGTTGTAAAAAACGAACAACACGATACCGGCCCCGAGAGCCCTGCTCTACAAAATCGTTCGAACGAGTAACTGGTCATTTCATTGCGATGGAGGAAGCTGGTTTGCCTTTTGTGAATCTAAATCTGCTCAATGCTGATCTTGTCACTGAAATCTTCCATCGCTATTTGGTCTCCTCCCACCTAAAGATAATATCTATGTCGCCATTAAATCTAAAAATACTTGGCAATCCTTCTAAGAAGCCTCGCGACAGGACGTAAAACAGCAAGGACATCTGTCGAAAGAAAAAGAATGAACGCCTTAAAGATAACGTGTACTGCCTGTAATACAGCAATTGCCATTCACACGCGATCCTATTGGGAACGAAAGGCAACAAGACGACAAATTTCCTGGCTGTTCTCTGCAAAACAACAAAATTAGAGCGATACAAATTCATTTATTTGAATCGATCCCAACAATTGGCATATCACCATGTATGATGATATGTCATCACTATTATCACCATTCTTATCCAGGTCTGTTTTTGGAGCTCTTACAGGTTTACTGCCCTTTCTTGCCAGACGTTATGATGTACAGGGTTGTCGGGGGCGCTTCGAATTCTTTGTCGTCATAATTGTAAGTTTAATTGCAGTGGATGTTTTCCTCGCGACTGTACTATCCTCCCTTTTCTTTACAAAAATCAAAAATTAAAAATTACTGTTAGAATTATCCTTGAGTTGTACTTAACAAACTCTTACTACCAATTAATTGTGTCAATGAAAAGTACAAGGAACACGCTATGTAAATTTTTGAAAAGAGAGAAAAAACAAAATTATTGCATCATCTCTTTAAAGCTCTTATCAGTGCTGCATTAACGAAAAGGTATCCTCCAGGAACCAATCTTTTTCTGATCATACTACTAATTATACTACTATTATAGTCTCCGTCATGGAAGAGCTAATGAAAAAAACACTTTACTTACTCGGTCGAAAATAATCTTCAAATGTTGGCAAGTATTCGCCGCCAATTTGGAAACCACGCCAGGCTGCAGACACAAAACCATAACACGCTAGTCACAAACAGCTGTTGTTCCAGTTAACGCAAGAAATCACTATTTGAATCAAATTTGAGGTAAATCGATGATGATAGTTTGGCCAGTATATAGGCAGACATTGACTTCTTACAAAAGTTGTTTTCTTTCATTATTGTTTTCAGACCGAAGCTCGAAATTCATCAGCTGATAACGTTGGCTGCTTCAATCTCATAATTAGCAGTTGACCTGTTCGATTACAAGCTAAGCAGCACAGCGATTAGAAGCTCAAATTGGCCATTTAGGTCATGCAACAGCCAATAAATCTAGAAACAAAAAAGAGGTCAGAACTGGTTGGGTCGGCGGACATTCTTACAAACAATCGACTTTTGCTGTCTGTATGAAAAAACTCTTGAGTTCGTATAATATCTCTACCAGTGCACTAGTTTCTGTCATAGTTACCCCTAATACACAAAAAGATACGTTTACAAATAATGTATTATTCATTACAAAACCGAAAAGTGTGCTTTTTGAATGTCCAGATTAGAGGCCGGCAAACACGTTCATCATTGAAAACCCTCTGGTACCTTGATGAGATCAAAAATGATAATTAAAAGTTTTCTTGGGGCTCAATGTTTTTCAAGCGCTAACAAATTCAGTAATAACATGTTAAAAGCTTTATTACATCCATCTTGAAATCACTGGTGATTCTTGCAATTTGACTGGCTGTCAGTAACGGATGCGATTTATTCCCGAATCGCACCATTTTTGCTCTAAATTGCATCTTTTTCTCAGCCAATAGGGAAGCTTTACTAAAATTCAAGCAACAGATCAAATCGCAAGGATGAAAGACAATTCAGTTCTGCAACTTTCTACCAGTGCATTACTGAATAAACAAAATATTTGTACAGACTAAAAAATCCTGTTTCTAAGCGACTGAGTTTTGCGAATTCAAAATGAATTTGATAAAGTGGTAATTGACCTTCGGGTCTTGTGACTTGTGATTTCAAATCAAACTAGTGGGCAGCATTCGTTTGATTTTGAAATCACGCATACGATTTCAGACTTAAATTAAATCCACTCAGTTCAATTACCACTATATACCTTTCATAACCGATAGATTCTATGGAGAACAATGTACAAAACTGAAGACAAATGAGTGTGTTACGTGCAGCTCGTTCAAAAACGGAGCAAATCGTGAGCAAAAACTAGTGGACAGGACATGGGCAGTACGAATGAATGAGTTATTTAGTCCTTATGCTGGCACTGATAAGATTAACACGACATTTCCGAAGCTATAACTCCCTTCAGCTACTTTCCTGGTTAATCTTGTTACGGATTACACCTAGTCGTAAGAGATGTCATCAATCGTAATTTCAAAACCGTGAGCTTTCTTGTACCGAGATTTAAAACATAGCCTCACTATTTTAAGAACATCTGCCGTATTCGATCATAACGAACCAGAAGATGATCGTCTACAAGAAATAGAGGGAGCAAGTCGACTCTTTGTCATCCACAAACTTCTGGGATACAGTACAATCAGGTTCTCCTCATTTATGTTTTCATAGTTTCTCGATGCTGTTGCCTCGATAGTCTTCCTTTAAATCCTTCGGTAGTTTTTCCTTATGCGCTAAAATGGCTCAAAAACGTCAAAAAAGACCCCGCTTGGAATAATATGTAACGCACTAGCGCACGATTAAGTTGCGTTCTCCAACGAGATATTGTGCGTCATCCAACTCCCTCTATGAACCAGAAATTCCAGGGTTTCCGAACAAAGCCGTTCGTGAGTGTGATACTGACAAATTGCTAATTAAGTCCTGATTACTGTATTGTGTTCATCAATGAAACACTTATTCAACCCAAGATGCACGAATATTTAAATAGCAGTGAATATGAATAACAATGCTCATATAAACAAAATGAACCCTCTTGTATTTCAATTTCGCAAAAGTATCGATAAACAATTGTTCGTCTCTTAAAAAGAAGTTATATGTAATTCTGTTGAACGCAAAGGTGGCCAACATCTTTAATAAAGGAAATGTGTGAAAATGTTAAATTGCTCGATGGAAGATAATACGACGAGATGTTTGAATAACAACCTAGTAGAACAAGCGAATGACAATTGAAAATCAATTGCAGTAAGTGCGTGCTAGAGTCCGTATGAAAGTTAGAAATGTTTTGCTGAGAATCATGAAAAGAAAATTATTAAGCCGGCTACTAACTCACAGTTTTGTGAATTAGTTAGATTTATTCATCGAGCTTGTATATCAAAAAATTTTCTTTTCCTTTGACAAAGTTATTACAATTTTAATATTGCATATATGACTTAACATTAGAAAGAAAACGCAAAAATAGTGCGAATAACTCTCTCGTCGTGTAATCAGACTTATGTTTATATCTATTTCGACTGTTACAACTGAATAGATCCGCTGAACACGGTGGACCTTAGAAATTACCATTAACTGTTTTCCTGAAACTTGTTACTTGTTCCTATATTGGCCTCTGACGTGTCAGAACTATACGTCACTCGTCAAATGCTAATTTGGACGATTTTCGTGATTTCAGTTTCGGCGTTAGTGACAATTTGCTGGATGGAAAGCACATCAATATAGCATACGATATTGTGATTGAATAACTTATAAAAGACCAATAAGCGGTAGAAGCGACACCAATATTACGTTCTGATTTGAATCTAAAAGCTTCATTTCATCGATGTACATTGATGGGTACGTCAAATCGAACACATCCTTCAGAAAACTTCAACTGCTTTTTTCTAGAAGTGATCTTGCTCCATGCCAGCCATAAACCCTTGTACATCTCTACTGTGATTACGAGCATCATAAATGGTATAGCGTTGGTGTTCGCCACCGTCGGAAACAGCATCATTTTAACAGTTGTACTCCGAACGACAGCCTTACAAACTTGTTCAAACCTTTTCCTTGGAAACCTGGTTTTATCTGATTTATTGGTTGGGGCCATGGTACAACCTCTTTTTATTATTTACAAAACAGGAGAAATACTAGGAAAGTATTCATGTGTTGCGCATGCATTGTTTTCGACATGCGCTTGGCTTTGTGCTGGAGTATCTTTCCTAACATTAACAGCTTTGAACTGTGAAAGACACATTGCTATCTTCGCCCCTCTAAGATATAAAACATTGGTTACATCGCGGAGCGTCATAATAATTTCTTTCTTCATTTGGCTACTGTCGCTCTTATTAGTTTCTTCGCGTTTCTACGGGTTCAGCAGTATCGCCTTCTACGCAGTCGGTTGTACTATCATCGTCATTAGTTTGATAACATTTCTCGTCATTTCAGTCCGAATTCATCGCGTTGTTCAACGCCATAGAAAGCAAATCGCAGTTAGCCATCCAAGCAATCTAGGAAGTTGGCAAAGACAAGCACGCGAGGCGGGACACGCAAGAAATGTAGCTTGGGTGACTTCAATCTTCTTCGCTTGCTACTTGCCAACCTTGATAATAATGATAACCTACACTATTGTTGGCTACACTGTCGAGTTAAAAACGGTTTATCTTTGGTCTGACGCGCTGGTGTTTCTAAATTCATCTTTTAACCCTGCAATTTACTGTTGGAGGAACAAAGGTATTAGAAAAGCTGTCTTCAAAGTTCTTGATCTGAAAAGGAAGGCTTCCATACAACCTAACGAACAGGCTTCTCCAGAGTGTTCAAAAAGTGCGGGTTGCGTTATAGACAGTGTCAGCGATAAAATACCTTCCGCCCGGTCAACTGACCAATTGGGTAAATATAATTAGAGACAGGAATTAAAAGAAAATTAGAAAATGAAATGACATTGTACGTGACGTGTCAAGAATATGATCCGCTGACGACAGAGAGAAATATACCTCACTGGTGAATTATTTGTTTCCAGGTTGTTCCATTTTCCCCACGAATCTTTCAAACACCCGCCAAAAAAATTTAATACTCCGAGTACTATTGACGTGGATATGTCAGGCAGAAAGAAGGACTTAGAATTTTGATCAAACACTGACTGATTTGTTTATAGTTTTATTTATCCTCGCAAAGGATGGATCGTAATACAATTTGACTAAATGCGATTTGCCCGTGGGCAAGAGGAAACGAATCATCTGTTCTGATTGGGCAACCCGAGCTAGTAAGAGGGGCCCATCTTGCCAACTCGAGATTGCATGCTCAGATCCCGCTGGAAAAAATTGCGGGGGAACAGACTTTCAAAGTAATTTTTAATTTTTGGACAACGTCGGCTGTGGAGTCGTAAAAAGCGGTAGAAGACAGAAGTAGAGAAAACATAATCGATTTCACCATTTTCTTGTTTTAAAAAAAGCAGAAAGTAGAAAAAATTCAACTATAAAGTTCTCGAAATATACAAATTATTCTTAATTCTTATTTAAGCGAAAGTTTTTCATATATAATAAATCTCTTATTGAACATGATTAATCGGTCAAGATGGCTGGATGTTCGCCTCATTACTTTTTGGCGTTTCTATAGAATTGACTTTATCTCGGTCCATAAAACGCAAAGAAAGAACTTGGCCAATACCGCAGGCGGGAACCATATGGAAATTATGCAGATGGCAAATTCCTAGAGTACCTTCGGTATATTTCGCGTTCGTTACCCCTATGGTTTTTCATATTTACTTATCAACTCTATCAACAAGTTAACAGTTTCATCAAATTTTCTAACAACATCCGTCCTCACCTTATTTACACTACATAAGATTAAACACAACGTATTAAAATTTGCAATTCCTATTGCAAAAGAGGCTTGAAGCAAAAGAAAAGATCGAAAGGATTCCTGAAACCAGAATAGCATAACCCTTTCATACAGAACAGGTTTAGAAGATTTAACCATCGTTGTTTGTGATGAGCAGAAGATACTCGAATTACTAAATCGACGGTGGTTGAGTAGAGACACTACTAAACCTCTGTCGTTTTTTTTTTACCACGATATCGTGGTCAAATAAAACACTCCTTCCAGTGCGTGACCATTGCATGACACGATGACGCGAGCAGCGTTGTCTGTACAACGGCAAATTGGTCAATCTGATTGCGACATTACAGCCAAAAACCAGCTGTCACTAAGAGTCTTTTACACTCTGACCCGAGCTTCTTACACTCTAAACCCTTTAACCCCTAAGAGTGACTTAATCTGTTTTATTCCTTGTAGCACTGCTCCTCTTTC